ATCTATCTATCTATCTATCTATCTATCTATCTATCTATCTATTCATGGACGATTCTATTCCTTAAAACTGCTATAACTAAGAAAAGCTAATAACCAAATAATTCATTTAGTTAATCAGACCCTAGTTTGCGAAAGACATTTCCAAGACTGGAAAGTCTATTGTTTGGAAGAAGTAAGTGGCACACTAAGGGGGGAAAAAGCAATGTAAGCTTCTCTCTGCTGGAAGGAGATCTTTCTGCACATACAAAGCCAACGGAGAATAAAATTAAGACACCAGTCTTATTCAAAACAACTAAAATTTCCTCCAGCAAAGTGATTTATTCAATGAGGATTATCTGATTTGCTTTGGCAAAGCAATTTGGGTAGCCTCAAACTGGATCATTGATGAAGTAAAAAATTTGGATCATTGATGAAGTTGAAAAAAACATTTCTCAGCCTTCTCTGGAAACATTTACCAAAGCACTTCAAAGTGGGCAGCTTCAAGATAGCCTAAAGCATGTGCCAAAGTCACTTAGCCTAGAAAGCCTTTGTGTAAGACGACAATTCAAGTTGGGTGATCCCACAATGCTTGCTGATGCAGTCAGACTCAAACATTTTCTCTGGATATCATGTGTGACTGTGAATGATATCTATTGGCCAAATAAGTGCCTCCTGTGCACCTGTAAATTTGTTGCACAGACATCCTACTTCACTCCAGCCCTACCTCTGTTTTAGCTTGTTTGTTCTGCTCTTGTGGAGAGGGGTGTATGTGTGCCAAAGTGGGAAGAAACCATTGAAGTTATTAAAGCCAGTACCCCGTGCAGGACTCTAAACTCAAGATACTCTGTGTAGATGGAAGCATGAATGAGAAGCAAAAATCCAAGTGAAGAAGGAAAAACAAAGTCCAATTGCCTTTTGAATAAACATCTTTGGGACAATGTTCCAATGTTGGTCAAAGTTACATTTTTCTTCCCTTTCTCAAAAAAATTAGAACCAAGGACCAACCAATGAAATGGATTTGGGGGGAAAAAACAGCATATACTTGTGAAATACATACAGTAATTAGCCCATGGAATTTATTGCTACACAATAAAGTCACAATGAGAGTATCTAACCTGAATTTTTTAATATATAATTTAATTTTTACTCAAGAAACATTAAATAATAAAAAAACAATAATAGATAAAAACCAAAATATATCCACCTAAAATGATAAAATGTACCTTATTGTTGTTCACACTTCCAACATAAATTGAGGTGGCTTTATACATTCTAGACAATTTCTCTGGTGATACCACTTTTTTTCTATCAGTTATTTTTGCTCTGCCATCTTCATAATTTTCCTAACATTTTCCCTTTTCTCATTATTGATTTAAAATCCACTTAATGCACCCAAATCCTTTAAGTTACATTTATTCTTTCCAAGATATTTTCCAAAAGATATCACCAAATCATTAGTAAATACCTGTAATTTAGGGCTGATAGTATTTAATATTCATTGCTCAGTATTACAGTACTGAGCAATGAATATTAAATACTATCAGCCCTAAATTACAGGTATTTACCAATGATATTGATACTTTAACATTCTGCAAATACACATTGCAGAAGAATTGTTTCCATTTTCTGCTGTGAGGATTCCAAAGCCATCTGATTGACCACTATAAGAAACAAAATTTGAGTAAGAAGGTATATGGCTTGATCCAACAGGTCATATTCTTATGATGGACTCTGCTTAATTGGATATGTTCAGATGGAGGTTAGCTTACCATTTTTCTGGGATATTTTAATTTGGATTTCTGCACTAAGCAGGAAGTTGATTTAAATGGTCAAAGACTCATTCAAACTATACGGTTCTAAAAACCTGAGGGTCTCCTAAGAATGCAATGCTGACTTAAATCTGCAAAAATAAGAAGCTGTGTTCCATACATTAATCCCTTAATTGTTTATAACAAAAAAAGGGGGGAGAAAGCGAGCTGGAGACAAATCTCATAAATATGCAGGGAAATTAACCGATCTGGCCTCTGCTGGCTGCTGCATTCCAAAAGGTGTCTGTCCTCCAAAGAGGAGAACAGCAAAGTTAGACATATATTGTAGAAAATAGGTTAACAGAGTGAGTGGGAAAATAAATTAAGGAGGAAACAATACTTGCATACTTAATAAGGCTAGTGAAGAAAGATCTAGTTTTATTGCATATTGATAAAGGACCAGACATTCTGGCCTGCCAAATTTTAAATATTTGCTACTGAATTTAGGTGGACAGAACTTTGAAGTGATACTGCTAGTCTACCATTCAATCTGTTGCACAGTTTTTCCTTATGAGATAGACTTTGTTCTATTTAAATATTCTTTCACATTAATTTTGCCATCTGTGAATGATAAATTTTCTAGAATGTATATATAATTCAGTGTAATGAAGGCTGTGGTCTGCTTGCTTTTGCTGTCCCTTTATCTGTCTATGCATTTGTGCTGGTCTGCATGTCCATAAAACACAGCATAGGCTGCATAAACTACACTCTTGGACGTATGACTAGGAGAGATGGTGGAGGAGAGGAGGGTAGGACAATTTCCACTACTTAGTACTCTCCCTCTTCCCCTCCCTTAAGGATGAGGTGGGATCTCAGGTGTTTGTTGTCGTTGTTCTAACTCTCAGCCAAACATGATATATACTCAATGTCAACATTTATTTTTCTGGATTCTCCCCTATTCCAAATTTGGTATTTTTCTGTTCACATTTTGGAATGTTATCCTGAAAATTAGCAAACAGAAACTGTCTTAAGCTCCTTTATGTAATTCATTCCAGCAGCCCATTAAAAGAACAAAAAGAAATGGCTCAGTTTTTAAAGAAATTAGAAACACATTTTAAGTCTTACAAGAGTCAGTAAGTGGCTCAGACAGACATCTCCATAATTCACAAGAATCTAGGAAAGTGGAGGGAATACGGTACAATCAGAGATGCAAAATTCTGTCATACCAAATCTAAATCAAAGTAGCTTTAACTTTCTTGTGACATTAATTTTTTGATCTGGTGTTCCTAAGTGGGACATCATTTAGAAAATATATTATTATTATTTTTTCCTAATGCTTTCTATGTATGTAAGAAATAGCACGGAAATGTGGATATAACAGCAGAGTGACAATTTCTGAAAATTTAACTATTATATTTATTTGAAATTTTAGAGGCAAGATCCTGTAGCTTTTGATAAGGAATTTGAAGACATATCCAGGAACGTGCTTAATACCAGATATACTTTGCTTCCATATTTGTACACGCTAATGTATGATGCCCATGCCCATGGTAGCACTGTTGTGCGCCCTTTACTTCATGAGTAAGTATTGGATATTCTTGAATGCAACTATAGGAATACTCAGTATGAAATCATTCCTATGACTACACAAAGCATTGCCATTTATAAAGCTATCTGACTAAAGTCATTTATTTTTCCTTCAATAGAAGAAGTTGAGATGAGCTTCTTCTTTGACTCGATTTTTTCTGGGGGCAAATTATTATACAATTTCTATGTTACGTTATAATAGACACAAAATACAATTAAACATAATTAAATATCTAAATATATATTATTCAGTGAATATGAATTCTTACTATTAATATTATTTTTAAAAAATAAAAAGAAGCCTCAAGTTTGAATATTGGTTTCATTCATACCTTTATCATTGTGTGACACTCAATAGGAAAATTCTCTCTGAAATGAAGAGCCATCAATAAGTGACTTTTAATTAATTAATGGTGTCTGAACTTTCAAAGCCTAGTTTTTGTTTGCAATAAAATAACATGTCCTTTTTTAAAAAAAAATGTCCTTCCTTCTTTAAAAAATGTCAACAGGTTGGAAATGTAATCTCAGAGCAGCTAGATCTTTCAACATTTAGAACAGTCTTTTCAAACCAACTATATATAAAAGCATTTTTGGTGTACACTCAGGTATTTGATTTTTAAAGAAGCATAATGTTCTTATCGCTCCAGATCAGATAGTTTTGGATAACTTGAAGTAGATGGGCTAAAGCTTCTGATTAAGTTTTAATAATGGAGGAGGAGAAGGAGGAGGAGATGATGATGATAATGATGATGATGATGACTAAGGTTTTTATAGATAAAAAACAGAGCCAAAAAACTGAAACTAACCCAACCCTGCTCTACATATTGATTCATTATACTACTTTTAGATTTACAGATGACAAAGCAACATGGAGTATACATGAGCAGTTTCTCTGGGGACCTGTATTGCTCATTAGTCCTGCACTACATGAAGTAAGTTGAGAGGGAAAAACAAAAAGTAATATGTTTGAATATATTTTTTGTCTTCAAAAAGAACCATTCATATTTTATTTCATACTAATACATCTATTTAAATGTAGAATGTTACAGAAGTGGAAGCTTACTTTCCAGATGCCTGCTGGTATGATTATTACACAGTAAGTAACATTTCTTCCTTTTACTCTAAATTTTAGGACAACCTTTTTTAGTAATAAGTTTCTTCTTCTAGCCTCAAATTTCAGTTGAGTTCAAGAATAAGAGTTTGATTGAGGGGGTCACTGAACTAAATACTGATGGGAATTTGAATCAAATGTTAGGAAAACATTCAAGTTATCCAATAAATGTGGAAGAGATTGTGACTTTTGGGGAGATGGGGAAAACAACATGAAAAAAATATTGTCTTATTTACAAATAGGATGAAAACATTGGCACAAGGCGACAGCAAAGAAGATTGCCAACTCCTCTTGATCACATCAATCTTCATCTTAGAGGTGGCTATATTATCCCATGGCAGTTACCTGGTTTAAACACCAATGCCAGGTATGAGCAATATGTCACAAAATTAGTAACTTGTTCATGAATTTTGTATTGAGAAGTTGCTTTTTTGTTTTTGTATAAAAACAAAACATTCAAAAGTATAAAAATCCACATTACAATATAAATATTATAAAATATGGATTGTGTTATAATTGTTCACTGCCCAAAGTCACTCGGTTGAGATAGGCAGTTATAGAAATAAAATAATAAAATAGACAGATATTATATCTTCTCTAAGTGTGGCTAGAAAACAGATTCTTATGAAACCAACATTCTCTATTTCAAGTTAGAACAATGATGAAACTAAATCAACTTTCTTTTTTTAAAATGTCCTTTCTCTCTCTCTTTTTTTTGTTTAGTCGAAAAAATTTAATGGGACTTACAGTTGCTTTAGATGATAATGGGGCTGCTCAAGGACTTCTTTATTGGGATGATGGAACAACAATTGGTAAATATAACCTTGATAAATTAATCAATAGATTTAATTGGCTTACAATATATATCACTCCCCATAGCATGAAAACATACATTGAAGATATACTGAATTATAACCTCTTAGAGTTTATATAACTGGATGACACTGCACATAACATTTCCCATGGATTTTCCTACTGAGTTTTTGGGTTTCATGGTCAAACTGATGTTCTATATCCATTTTAACATGGTTTTAGGCCTTGGTCACCCTATGGGATGATCTGGGCTGGCAAAAAGATTTTTCATGTTGCTTCTCCTGGACTTTTGAGTGGCATTTAGTATTGACCATGCTATCATCCTGGACAGATGGAATTGAGATATGGGAACATTATGGCACACATAATAATTCCACTCTACCTTTTCTAAAAGGTGATGCTAAGCTGATTAAAATTCTACTATATGGTGGTTGGGTTATTTATTTATTTATTTATTTATTTTGTTTGTCAATTGCTTACAAGATAATAAGTATAAGTAAAAACATAGTTATGAATACATGAATACATATAAGGGAAAAAAAAAGAAACAATAGGACAGGGACGGTAGGCACGTTGGTATGCTTATGTACACCCCCTACAGACCTCTTAGGAAAGAGGTGAGGTCAATAGTAGACAGTCTAATGTTAAAGTTTTTGGGGTTGGGGGAAGAAACCACAGAGTCAGGTAGAGTATTCCAGACATTGATCACTCTGTTGCTGAAATCGTATTTCCTGCAATCAAGTTTGGTGCAATTAACCTTGAGTTTGTATCTATTGTTTGCTCTTGTATTGTTATGGTTGAAGCTGAAGTATTCATTGACAGGTAGGACATTGCAATGTATGATTTTATATACTAAGATCGGACCGAAGGTGGCACAGTTCTAGGTTTTCTATGTCTAGAATTTCAAGTCTGGTGGCATAAGGTATTCTGCAACGAGTAGAGGAGTGGAGAACTATTCTTGTGAAATATTTCTGGACTTTCTCAATTGTATTAATATCAGATACGTAATGTGGGTTCCAGACTGATGAGCTGTATTCAAGTATTGGTCTAGCAAATGTTTTGTATGCTCTAGTTAGTAGTGTAATATTACCAGAGAAATATTACATAAATATTATATAAATATTACTACATAAGATTAGGTTAACAACTCTTAATGCCTTTTTGGCTATGTAGCTACAGTGGGCTCTAGCACTTAGATCATTAGAGATGAGTATTCCAAGGTCCTTTACAGAGCTTGGATCATCAACAAGGTCTTGACTATTCAGCTTGTATTTTATTTTCTGATTTTTTTTTGCCAATATGTAAGACAGAACATTTATTTGTTGAGATTTGAAGTTGTCATTTGTTTGACCATTCTGATACATAGTCAAGATCTTTTTGAAGGGTAGCAGTATTGTCTGTGGTATTGAACAGCTTTACAACATCAGCGAAGAGGACGCAGTTGCTCTTAATATGATCACAGAGGTCATTTATGTAGAGTATGAAGAGAGTTGGTCCTAGAACACTGCCCTGGGGGACACCACTGTTGACAGGTACAGAATTTGATAGGATGCTCCTAATTTTGACCATTTGTTGTCTGTTTGACAGGAATGCTTCTATCCAGTAATGAAGGAGTCCAGAGATACCATAAGATTTTAGTTTTAGGAGTAGGCTGTCACCACTGAATCAAAGCCTTTACAGAAGTCTATGTAGATTGCGTCTATTGTTTTGCCCTGATCGAGTTGTGTAGTCCATATGTTTTTGCAGTGTAAGAGTTGCAGATTACAGGATAGTTTTTTTCTGAAACCAAAAGAGTAGGTTGTTTGTCTCTAAGTGGAGGATAATGGATTGGTTAATAATTGATTCCATGACTTTACAGGTGACGCAGAATAAAGAGATTGGTCTGTAATTTTCAACTAGGCTGGGGTCTCCCTTTTTGAAGATGGGGATGACCATGGCTTGTGATCATAGGTTAGGCAAGGAGCTGGTCCTGAAAGATTTTTCAAAGATTATGCTTAGAGGTTCGGCTATGGCAGTGGATAGCTTTTTAAAGAGGTAGGCACATATTCCATCCGGTCCAATAGATAGAGGTGATTTTAGATTGCATAGTGCTTTTTCAACATTGTCTTCTGTAAAATCGATATGTGTTAGATCATTGTAGTTGTCTGTCGTTCAACTTGGAAATACTGGGCATGATCCATTGCTGTTTACAAATACTGAGCCAAATAATGTGTTAAAGAGGTTGGCTTTAATAGTGTCATAATTGCAGTCTTTAACATTAGGTCCTTTCAGGGGTGGGATGGACCTTGAGTCTTTTAGTTTGTTGTTTACAAAATTGTAGAAAGCGCGGGTGGAATTGGTGCGTAGAAGGTTTTCCTCTTGTTTACTATGATAATTGGTGCATTCAGTCTTTATCTGGTGGCATAAATTTTTGTATCGACTTTGGCAACGTGACCAGATTTGTTTTTCCACCAAAGTGATCTTTTTTTGGATTGAAGCTTCCTTATTGCTATGGGTAATCTGTTTTTATTGTTATCGGTACATATAGTTTGATGACTCTTTTGACTTCAAGTAAAAATATGTTGTAATTGTCTTCAACACTATTGCATCCAGTGAATAGAAATTGCCAATCAAGGAATGACAGATCATTGTCTGTAAGATCATAGTTTCCTTTTTTGAAGTTATAATTGGGGATCACATCGTTGTGTTGACTTTTGTGTGGACATATGTTGAGACAAAAGTCAATCATGTTGTGGTCACTGTTGGAAAAGGGTTCTTTAATTCGTATTCCATAAATTGAATTCAAACTATTGCAGAAGATGAGATTGAGGCAGTTGTTAAGTCTAGTATTGTTGGTTACCAGTTATTCCAGTCCCAGGTTTATTACAGCATTGTAGAAGGTTGCATATATGGGTTCAATTTTACATTTGTTTAGGGTCCAGTTAATGTAAGATAGATTGAAGTCACCAAGAAAGATAAAAGCGTGTGGGCAGGATGCTGCCCATATTGGTAGTGAATTTAGCTTATTTACATGTTTGATGTCATAATCAGGGGCTCTGTAACATAGTAAGAATCGAAATGTAATATTTAAGGACAGTTCACAGACGATGGTCTCAAGAAGAACAAGCTCTTGGGTAACTTGGATGTTTTTTAGATGTAAGGACTTTTTATAGAAGATAGCAACACCACCTCCTCTACGGATTTCACGATCTGATCGGTAAACATGATAGTGTCTTACTGTGGTAATGGAGAGATGCATTGAGGGAGAGATGCATTGAGCCATGTTTCACAGACAAATATGACGTCGAATTTAGCCATATTTAGTAGGAGAAATGCAGGTATTTTATTCACAAGGCTTCTTGCATTGAATAGCTTGCATTTAAGGCCAGTTGTAGTTGGAATTCATGTAGTTAGGGGCGTGCTTGCCTAGTTTTGAGTGATGGTGGGTTGGATGAGGTAGGGTTGGATGTGGAGTTGCCGCAAACCCCCCAGCTCGTTCATTCCCCGAGTTGACTTCCCTCTCCCGAGACTAGGCAGATTCTTTAGACCCTATGGAATACCTCAAGCCTCCCTTTCATCCTTCATGCTTTTAACATCTCTTTGAAAATGCTGAGAGACATCATCTGGGGATGTAGGCTGTCATACTGTCATTATGTGGGACAAAATGCTTTTCATCAGCTTTAGCTAATTTACTACCTGCAACTTTACTTAGGATATTGGTCTGAACCTAACATAGCAGGACTGGGTCACAGGTTCTTCTGGGTTCAAAACCAATGAACACACGCTATGAATACTTAAGGCTTTATTCCATGAAAATATAAGAATATAATATAGTGAAATAACATATGACAAGAATCAAAGAACATTCAAGATTATGGAAGAATTCAATAAGAGGGAACTTATGCCCCTTTTGCCAGTCAGGGAACCCCAAAATGCTGATAGTGGGTGGACTCTTTCAAAGCTAGCAAATATGCAGCAAACTACTTATGTTCCATCCCATGGGAATTTTTACCTGGTTTGTGTATGCAATGAGTATCATTACTCATATCCCTTTTTGGTGGTCTTATCTTATTAGACTTTGCAGTGATGTGATGGCCTAGAGGTGGAGCTCCCGCCTCACAATCAGGAGGCTGTGAGTTCGATCCTAGATAGAGGCAGATATTTCTGTCTCTGGGTACACTAAGAATATATCTGCTGGGGAAAAAAAAACTCCGCATTGGCAACAGGAAGGGCATCCGGCCAGTTAACACTCAGCTCCATTCATTTGCCCAGTCTCCACCCCGCAAGGGATTATGGGCTCATTAAAAGAGGATGAGCTCATTAGACTTTGCAAAGGACAGATTGAATGTTAACAAAACAAAGGAGACCATTGTTGATTTTAGAAAGAGATGGCATAGTCATACTCCCCTTTGTATCAAGACTGCAGTTGTGGAGGTGATCAGTAGTGTTAAGTATCTGGGGATGCAGATTATCAAACTGACTTGGTCTCTTCATTTATTATCTTTAATGAAGCGTGCAAATCAGTGTTTGCCTTTCCTGCACCGGATGAGGAGAGCACATCTTTCTGCTCTGTCCTGGCCACTTTTTACAGAGGCACAATTGAGAACGTTTTAACAAACTGCATCACTATTTGTTTTGGTGGCAGCAGTGCCTCACATAGAAGGGCTTCAAAATGTTTAGCAAAGGGTTCTTTGCTCGGTTGTTGGGTGGGCGTGGCCTAGTCGGCCTCCTGCACCATGCTGGTGGGGAACATTTTTGCCCTCCCTGGCCTCTGGAGGCTTTCCTCGAGCCTCAGGGAAGGCAAAAATGGCCTTCCTGGGCTCTAGAGGCTCTTTGGAAGCTGCAAATGGGCCCATTTCTGGCTTTCCTGAACTTCCAGGAGGCTGTTTTTGCCCTCCCCAAGCCTCTGCGTGTGCCCTGCACTTACCTGCATCCAAAACGGGCTGCATGGGGACTCCTGGGAGAGGCAGGAAAGGGTGGGTGGGGCCAGCCTGGAATGGGATTTGTGGGTTCTCCGAACTGCACATAATCTTAGTGAGGGGCTTTCCTGAATCTCTGTGAACCCCAAGAAGCCCACCCCTGAGAAGGTCCATACAGAGAGTGGTAAGGACAGCTGAGAAGATTATAGGAAGCTGGCTTCCCATTATTTAGGATACTACTTGTAAGTGCTATCTGCTTAGAGCTTGAGGCATTGTGAGAGACCTCACACACCCACTTCATGGTCTGTTTCTGTTGTTCCTGTCTGGGAGGAGGTCATGAAGTATCTTTAGCAGGACTACTAGATTCTGTAATAGCTTTGTTCCTTATGCCATCCATCTTGTAAATTCATAATATTTTTTTTTCCACCATGTATACATTCCAACTAGACTGTTATGTTTCTCTGTGTTGTACATGTGTTTGTTTGTGGGTATATGCATAATGGTTATCTTTTGAGAGCTGAATGCAATAAATTTTCATTTTAATATATGTGGATCAAGCGTACACTTAAAGTGACAAAAAAGTTTCTATTCTGTTCTATTCCACTCTACTCACTCTATTCTACTCTAATCTACTCTATTCTGACATATTCATTTTATCTTGTGCTTATGTTTTGTCAGGTGGCAATGACGCTATCTCAAGGTTAAGGAATGCCTGATTCTTTATTTTAATATTTTTATTTTATTTTATATTTTTATTATATTCTTTATTTTTAGTGTGTTTTGATGTAAACTACCCAAACACTTTGTCTATTGGGCAGTTTAAATATTGAATGAATATTGAATGAAATGGTGTGAAACAGCATGTCAAAACATAGATAATACAATAATATATATTGCTATTCTTTTATTATAGATGCATATGAGAAAGGACTTTACCTCTTACACACGTTTAATGTCAGCCAGGTATGTATATTTCCTAGGCATTATTTCCCAATTGAATAAACCAATATAGGTAGTCCTCAATTTACAACAGTTTATTTAGTAGCCATTCAAATTTACAATGGTGCTGAAAAATGTGACTTATAACTGTTTTTCACACTTACAACCATTGAAGCATCCTCATGGTCACATGATCAAAATTTGGACACTTGGCAACTTATTCATATTTATGATGGTTGCTGTGTCTTAGGCAGGGGTGGGATTCTACCAGTTCGGACCAGTTCTATAGACCTGGTTGTTACGATTCTGTGCAGTTTGGAGAACTGGCAAATCATACTACTGACTGACTCCTCCCCCCTCCTGTCAGATTTCTGCTTTCTAGCTAATCTAAATCACTGTTGTACTGCTTTGCCTTCACCTAAGAGGCTTCCCTGAGGCCCAGTCAGGGGTGGTATTCGGGGGATTGGGAGGTGCGGGAGAAATGGCCTGAGAGCAGAGCCGAACCTTCCTTAGGACTGAAGTTTCTATTTTTCAGTGCATACTCAGGCAGCAGATTGCAGAAAGGTAGATCTGTGAGTGAATCTATGATTCTGCAAGCAATTCAATCTGCTTTGCCTTATTTTGGGTAAAAGTTGCTCTTTTATACATACATACATACATACATACATACATATATAAAACAATATTTACATACATATTTACAATGTTTATGTACAAGCCACACCCACCCAGTCACATGACCACCAAGCCACACCCACAAATTAGGCCATCCCCACAGAACTGGTTGTTAAGAAATTTGAATCCCACCCCTGGTCTTAGGGTCATGTGAAGGTCATCTTTTGTGACCTTCTGACATGTAAAGTCAATGGGGAAGCCAGATTCACTTAACATGCTACTAACTAACTACTAAAATGCTACTTAACATGCTACTAACTTAACAATTGCAGTTATTCGCTTAACAACTGTGGCAAGGAAGATTGTAAAATGGAACAAAACTCACTTAACAATTATCTTGCTTGATCTGGAAGATTTATATAGAAGCATTTTGGGTCTATTGTGATTGTAAGTCAAGGACTACATGTACAGATAAATCAATTATGCTTCTATATAAATCCTCCGGATCCAAACAATATCACCAAAATGGTTTCTTTGAATCAACTACTTGTCAATAACATTTGTACATGTCTGTGTATGACACAGAGAGCAAAAGAGTTTTTTTTTCTCACAGATTGTTTTCAACCTTGTTGCTCTCTCATTTTCATAGCTTTTCAAGCTATACAAATCCTTTTTAGATCTCATTCCATAGCAACACGTCCTATCATTTTTACACCCCATTCTTCCTGTTTCACCATTAGATGGAATAAATTTCAGGAGGGCACTCATAAGTGATTAATAAAATTCAGGTGTAACATGCAAAATAATATTGTCTGTGCAACAAAAATGAGTTGAATAAGAAAATTACAAGTGAAACAAACAATTTACTGAGTACATTTAAACATGAATTTATTTGTTGTCACCAGGGAGTGGGGTGGGTGGGTTATTGCTTTTACTTTCTGTGCAGTGAGTTTTTATTTTTGTAAGCCACTCAGAGTCATTGTGGGTAGTGATATAAATTCTCTTAAACAAACAAATGGAAAAGACTTACTGATTCAGTTCTTACCTGCTTTCTAGACTCCTTTTTCTAGCATGCAGTCATTGTGTTCAATAAAAATCAGTGGGTTTCATGTTTGTGTAATAGCTATTGGCATGGCAAAATAATTTTTGTTTGTTCTTGCTAGTAAATATAATTATGTCACTATATACAGTATATATACCCTTGAGGTAGTGCTAATAGGGTAGAAAGAATAATAAAATTGTTATTTCAAGATATTTTTGAGAATGCTATTTTTTCAGTTAATTTGATCCATTTGTTGGCACATAACATTAAATTTAGAAAGCAATACTTTGCAATCATTTGCTGAATTATAATTCAGAGATAAGTGAATGACTGCTTCTTCTCATAATAGTGAGAAAGATCTTTGCTTTCTGGTGTACGCCAAAGAAGTATTGAAGTATCACAAAAACTTGAATCACTCCAAATGTCTCCTTATCAACTTTCCAGTGTTTAAAGCCTTCCTAACCACTATTTTCTCCCTTTCCTGTTTCAAAGCTTATGTATCTAATAGATTCTTTTCTTTCAAACTACAGTTGAACAGTTGAAGAAGGTCCAGAAGACTTGTTTTTGCTAGAGCTTTCAGGCTAAATATAGATTTTCCAATCTGATATAACTGGAAGATCTGTTTGAGGCTTTCAAGTTAAATTTAGACTCATGGCACAGTTCTGCAATGTAGCATACCTGCAAAAAAAAATATTTTGTCCTCTTGAAGACTAGGTGTGGGAGATGTATTTGAGAACGGGCTGTGTTTTCTTATAGTTTCAATCATGGTTCAACGGGATGTGGGTTTGGATAATAAATATACAGGTTATCCTCAAATTACAACCATTCATTTAGTGACTGTTCATGGTTACAATGGCCCTGAAAAAAGTGATTTTGACCATTTTTGTTTAGACTGGATTTGGTATTTTCATCCACTTATTTATTAAATTTATATTTTATATTTATATTCTGGCATTTTTATCTCCATACTGTAATTATTATTTACACAATAATGTGAAATCACAGTGCCAATTCTTTAGGTGGTATGGCTTTTATAAGCACCAAATTCTTCCCTGGAATCCAGGATGTCATATTACTATTATTGCCTTTGAGTCAGTATTGACTCTTAGCAGCTTGGACAAGCCCTGCAGTTTTTTTTGGCAAGAATTTTAACATGGTTTACTGTTGTCTTCTTCCTAGGATTATGAAAAAGTGACTGGTCCAAGCTGGCTTTGAGCCTGAGGTAGAATTAGAACTCTTGATCTCCAGGAACTAGCCTGATATCATAACCTCTACACCAAATTGGCTTTACCTTTTTTAATTTAAGTCCTCGAATTATTAATTTGATCAATTTAGTAACATATGAATTCAAATATGATTGAGGAATGAACAAAATAGATAAAGATTTATTAATTTATCACAAGCTATCTTGCTGAAAGTTTCAGTGATACAGATTTTTTTACTGATACCTTAGTAATGTAGTGAAAATACAGAACTATTTGTTCATATAATGATCATATAATGTTAATCAGTGTCCATAGTTTTCATTTATACTAGAAACAATTATACATTATTTTTGTGGATGGGTATAGCATATTAAGAAGGAGGAAGATGAGCAGTTAGGAAACATGAAATATAAACAAACAGGATAACAGAGTTGGAAGGGACCTTGGAGGTCTTCTAGTCCAACCCTCTGCTCAAGGAGGAAACCCTACACCATTTCAGATAAATGGTTGTCCAATCTCTTCTTAAAAACCTCCAGTGTTGGAGCATTCACAACTTCTGGAGGAAAGTTGCTCGAACTGTCAGGAAAGTTCTCCTTAGTTCTAGGTTGCTTCTCTCCTTGATTAGTTTCTGTCCATTGCTTTTTGTCCTGCTTTGGAGAATAGGTTGATTCACTCCTCTTTATGGCAGCCCTTTAGAAATTGGAATATTGATATCATGTCACCCCTGGTCCTTATTTTCATTAAATTAGACATACTAAATTCCAGCAACCATTATACATATGTTTTAGCCTTCAGTCCCCTAATATCTTTGCTGCTCTTCTCTGCTCTTCATTGCTCTCTAAATAAATAAATAAATAAATAAATACATACATACATACATACATACATACATACATACATGCATACATACATACATGCATACATACACAATAATAGAAACTATGAAAGAAGAAAAAAACCTTACCCAATAATAAGAAACAAGCCATTAACTATAACAACTATAAGGATAATTAAATATTTTCTTTGTAGATACTATAGGTATTTTGAGTATTAAATATTTTGTAACAAGTATTAAAATATTTCAGTATTGTTTGATAATAAAAGAAAAATGATAGAAGGGAAAACAATCTTAAACTATACCAACTTACTATCAATTAGGGATTCTATCCTACTTTATCTATGTGTGAATTATACCTAGGAAGATTCTCAGTCATTCAGGTCATGGTTGTCCCAAAGGTGCTTTTTTGAAGGCAACAAGAAGAGATGCAAAATAGCATGGTTGCCCATAGTGAAAGTGGGACGGGTTAAGCCAAGCACAATAAGTAGGCAAAAAGCTACATTTAGATTTACAATGATCAGTAATAATCTGTAAATTCTGGTTAACAACTCAAGACATTGAGTTTTTATCTGCAGATTATTAAAACCAGCACTGTTAGATCATGAGTATCACAACTTTTGCCAATATTTCAATTGCTGCTATTTCCATTCTCATCCTATTGTCACAACAAAAGATTACATGTTGGAACCAAATGTAGATGATGGCAAATTATGAAGTAACTTTATAAATAAATATATCGGGGAACTGTCTTTCAGAATGTCTTGGATATCAGGATTGCCCATCAAGGATATTTTGACCCAAATAACTTAAAGTTTGGTGAAGTAAAAGTCTTAGGGGCCCAATTCAACTCTTCTCAAAGTGTGGTTGTACTTCAGAATGATGCAATCATTCCATCACCTCACAAAGTAATGTATAACTCTACAAATCAGGTAAGGAAATAATAATAATTTTGGCATTAAAAAGAGAATATTATTATCCCTGTTCTATTAGACCAACACTTTTTGAGATTCAGGATCCAGTTTCCCACAGTGACTATGTGGCTGCCTGTGGAAAATCACCAAGGAATATATGATGGCTTCTCCATTTTGTGGTTTTTCATTACTTGCATTAAGTAATATGATATCTGTGACCCTCAAAACAATATGATGACTAATAAATCAACATAGATGAATTTTTAATGAACTCAGTTAACTCTGTTCTAAAGCCAGCTGTGCCAGCCATAACTACTTACTATGGATACAATTCACTAGTGTTCTGATGCATTGTAGTCTTCAGAACTGATGAAGATGAAGCTATGTGGAGTAATAGAGACATCCTTTTTATCCTTTATATTATGGCACAGAACTGGCGGACCTAATGAGAACAGGATGAATGGGTGGCATAATCAATTGAAGGAGAATTAATCATAGTGAAAAGCAAAGTGATTAAATCTGAGTGGAGGTGAAATGTTTCTTTCCCCAAATTCCATTGTTTTCTACTGAATATATAGACTTGTATATCTTTTATAATATGATAAATCAATTGTACTTCATATAAATGATTTTCTATTTATATACAGGAACATTAAACTAAGTTTATCATCACTGTTTTGTTTCCAAAGGCAATGCATATTACAGATCTTCACCTTTTCCTGGGTCAAGCTTATACACTGCGATGGAACTAGCATCTCTTATATGACAATTTTGTTATCTGTACTTATCACAAGTTTATCATTCTTAAAGATAATTAAGAGTTTAACTTTTAATGCTTTCAGAATGCAACTATTCTGGAAAACAGTAATAACCATTGATTGACACCATTACTGAGTAGATTTGACTTTGCATGTTTCAATAATTAAAGGGCAGAAGTCCGTATTTCATTCTAGATTCATCCATAGTGCAACCTGTTCAACCCAATGATAACACAACTTTGATAAACTTATCTCAATCTCAACTTTAATAATTGCATAAATGGTTCATTGCAATTTCAGTTCAGCACTTTAAAACATATGGAATTCCTTGTGAGTTTTAAATGGTTTTTTCACAGAAGACTCCAACAATACTTAATTTCTGAATAGGGGAAAAAGGGTTTTCTGAATGGAAAACCAACTTATGTTCTATATCTGTTAATGCTGCATTAGAATTGCCAGTCTTTGAATTGGACATAACTTGGTATATTTGCTGTTTATAAGGTCTTGTGAATGACTGCTATTGGACTGTATTATTGTAATTTGAGTAAAAGTCAATATTGGAACCAGAGCTCTTGTATTATTTTTCATTAAATATATTGTATGAGGAAGATCTGAAGATTCAGTTAAGCCTTAACAGCTTGTTCCTAAAGAGTTCTGTTATGCCATCATTTTCTCAGCTTGTAAAGAACCACTCAGTTAAATTTTTTGGTCAAATATTTCATTTTGGATCAAAAAACAAACAAACCACTTTTAAAATGTATGGCTGCATATGGGAGGTAAACATTAGGGAACTGATAATAGGATTAAGGTAATTGTTGCTTATGTCAGTAGATAGCTGAGGATGCCTCCATGCATATTTGAATTCAATGGAACTTAGTTCCACATAATTAAAATGTAATTCTTCACACACCTATCTGGAAGAAAATCCTGATAAGCTGGGAATAACTTATTTTTTTTGAAAAAATGCATTTGGCTTGTCTTTAAGATACAGTTTTATGTCATACATTTATTTTTTATTGGCTTATCAATTAAGTAATTCCTATCATTTTACTATTTGTGTATGATAGAGCTGAATTTAAATATCTTTTGGTTTAGCTGATTTTGAAGGGAGAAGTTTGAATATTTCCTGTAATTATGTCATCAAAATCAATTTCAATTAAAGGTAAAACTCATTTGTTTTTTTGGAAATTATTTCTATATAGTTTTTTAATAATGCTTCATTCTGGTGGATTGACTGAATTTTGATATTACTAATTTTAATGTTGTAAGATATTCACAGACCACTGTGGATGGAGAATAACTAGGAGTATTTAAGAATTATTAAATGAATAAATACATAGATAAAAAAAAAATGATGTTTGTGGAATTATGCTTGCATTGCCATGAAGAAAAGTTCAGGCACTCTATAAATCAAAATAAACATTCATAAATCATTAACAAATAGAAATAAGGCTATAATATGAATTAGCATTATATATGCACACACACACACACACACACATTTAAGGGGACACTTTGTTCCAAAGCCATAATGAGAGGACTATAAAATTTGATCCCTGGAAGAATGATTGGTAAAGTCTTATTAGTGCATTGCTGGCACATGGAATAAAGGAACAAGGGGAGGGAATGTCTAAGTAAACACAGACAGAGTTTTAGAATAGTATAAACAATTCATCATAAGGATATTGATTTTGATTATTAAAAGTAATACAGTTACTGGCAATATTTGATACGAATTAAAGCCATCTTCATAAAACAGGAAAAGGTTTCCTTTCTTTGAGAAACTTATTGGCACATAAATAACAGTATTATCTGAAATGCCCCTCAGTGTTGTCCAAGCCCCAAACTGGGCAAAATTGAAATCAAGCACCCAAGAACTCAATACCAAGCCAGTCCTCCTTCTCAACCCACCTACCCCACCCCACCCCAAAATGTTAAGAAATAAAAAATAAAGCTCCCCCATTTTTACCCAGTTCTGTTCTGATTTGAAATCATGTACATTGACTTTAGTCAAAGTGATAGCCTTATATAGCTCTAGAAGTTCTTCTGTAGTTCTGTGTGGGATCCTGAGCAGTATTAGGCTGCATGTTTGAAGTGATTTTAAGAGAGAAACCACCCTTGACAAGATTTTTTTTAATGTCCTGAATCTTTTGTGTTTCCAATTTCTGGTGATGTGTAAGTGAAACCCAGAGCTTTAGAAAGAGATACCTGGGTCCAAGTTACTTTCCAAAAAGATTTTTTTTTATGTTTTGTGTGTTGTGTATATATGTTTTTTTTTCCGGGGAGAATTAATGAAACCTTGCAGAAATATAGAATGAGAATAATGGTAACTAAGTCAGAAAGAAATAGATGAAATAATAATAATAAAATGGAATAAGAGTAAAGAGAAATAAAGAGAAAGTGGATAAGAGGTTTTTGTATGTTTATATGGAAATGGTTTAAAACAGAATTATAGTTCATCTGACTTGTTAAATTTATAATGGAAAAAGGTTTAAATATGTAATGGATAATGATGACTTGTGTGTTTTGAAAATTAATAAAACTTGTTTAAAAAAAAAAGAAATGGTTTTGGTACCATTTTCATACTGATAATCATCAAGAAATTTAAATAAACTGAGGTCTTCAGAAATTGTTTGTGAATGGCACATGAAGCAACTTTAGAATCTATGTGGTGAGAATCTCATTGTGATAATGACCACTAAAGTTTGTGAGAATTATGTAGGGCAGATATGACCCATATCAGCTCAAATTCTTTAAGAATACACACCCATAACTTCCCCAATCATACTTTAAATAGAAGTAACTGAATTATAGCAATGATTTATCTTTTTACATTGGTACTTTACAAGTTGGATATGCTGCATTTGAAATACATAATAAAAGCTTCACATTTGTTTACTATTTATTTCAATGTATTTTATATATGAATCAGACCCAGATATTCAGTTATGGATCTTAATCTCAATGGATATAGTATTTTGTAATATATCTATATCTATATCTATATCTATATCTATATCTATATCTATATTATATCTATATCTAATCTATATCTATATCTATATCTATCTATCTATCTATCTATCTATCTATCTATCTATCTATCTAT